GCGGCGTGGCGACGGTGCGGATGGACCCGATTGTGTGCCGTGGCTGTTCGTGCGGGGGAGCCACGGGAAGGAGGAAGGCAGCGGAGCGATGGACTCACGAGGAGTGCGGTAGCGTGCAGCCATGAAGATTGGCGACAGGGAACTCACTGCCGCTGTGAGTTGCCGTGTGTGGTGTTTGTTTCTGTTATTATTGCTTGCGTTGTTGGATGTGGCCGCTGTGGGGAAGACTGTTTTTTGTTTCTTTTTCACGCCGTTTTGGGATCCTTTTCTGCACCGGCATCACTGTGTTCTTGCCGTACTGTTGCGCCCTCTTTCCCGTCCATTTGGGGGCAGCTGCGGGTGGGTTTTACATGCCATGGAGTTGTGTGCCGTGCTGTCCGGTGTTTCATTGTTGCCTGTTCTTCCTGCGTGCACGCGTCCCCCATGCTCATGACAACAACCCTCATGCAAACGCTACTCCTCCTTTTCCATGCTGCTGATGTGTGTGTGTTCTTCTCCTCCTCCTCTCTTTGTCGCTCCCTAGACTGTGTGTGCAGCCGTGATGATGATGACTGGCCGTGTGCTGCTGGTGTGTGCCCTCTGCGTGCTGTGGTGCGGTGCCTGCGGTGGTGGATGTTCTGAAGCGCCTTCTTCAGATGCTCCGGCCTCTTCGGATAATGCGTCAAGTGAAAAGAAACCTCAACGCGAAGAAGAGGCCGTCGTTGTCACTGGAGAAGGTGTGAAAAACGGTGAAGAGGCAGCGCCTAAAGGAACGGCATCGCCGGCGTCAGGATTACCGGCAGCGGTAGCGGCAATACAAACTGGAACACAATTATCACCACAACCCGAAGGAGGAGGAACATCAGAAACGGCAAGTACAACGACGGACAACAATAATACAAATACAGAAGGTAAAAAGGAGGAAAAGGAAGAAGAGGAAGATGAAGATGATAAGAAGAAAGAAGAGAGGGAAACGAAGGAAGAAAAAAAAGATAAGGAGAAGGAAGAGGAGAAAATCAAAGAAGACGATGCCGACGCCACAAAGGGGATGCCAGCAGGCGGTGAGGAGCCGCCAAGTTTATCTTCTGGCGCGGAGGAAGCAGCGAACCAAACAAATCTCAAAAGCACGCAAACGACTGGAGACGATGACCCAGCAGCTGATGTTACAGGGACACGAGAAGGAAAAAGAAATGAAAATAAAGATGCCAATCCGAAGGAAAGACCGGTCGAAGCCACAGCCATGAAAACCACAACGGCGACGACTGGCGACAGTGACGGCAGCACCGCGGTCTCGCACACCACCTCCCCTCCTTTGCTTCTTCTTCTTGTTGCGTGTGCTGCTGCTGCTGCGGTGGTGGCCGCGTGAGAGTGAGTGTGAGAGAGCCGTGCACCGCCCGCACACACACTCGTCCTTCTCTCTCTGTGTGTGTGTCCCCTTGCATGGACTCTCGCCCTCACCTCACCCCACGAGGCACACAAATAATGTGCCCATTGTATATATGCATGCACACCCATGCAGGCCCGTTGGTGCTCTCTTTTGCACGACACGCACCGCTGCCGTCCTGCCTGGCTGCATGGGCGGAGCACCGCAACTGTTTCTGTTTTTTGTCCTCTTATGATTGTTTTAATTGTTTTTAATTTTTCTTTGCTGTTTGCTTTAAAATATTTTAAATGTTTTTTGTTTTTTCTGGTTTTGCGAGTGTTTTTGTTTAATTTCTTTTGTTTTTTGTGTTTGCTTTTACTTTTTATTGTCCTTTTCTCTCACTTCCTTTTTTTTTGCTTTTGGGGCAATCACGATGGACGTTTTTTCTTTTCCACTCTTCCCTCTTTAATTGTTTGTTGCTGCACTCTTCCTGCGAGGGGTGCCGTGTGTTTCCGCCCAACTGCTCCACTCGCACACCCACCGACACGCTCACGACGACGGCCCTGTGCGCCTCGCCTGCTGCACGCATGAGGAGGGGCCGCGACGAACGGCGCGCTGAGGGAGCCGTGACGTGTGGGCGTGCGACGAGGGCCTGTGGGGCGGAGCACACATTTCTTCCCTCTTGTTTTGTTTCTTTGCGGCCAGGGCGGGCAGACACCCGCAGCGCCACACACACAGCCACACCCTGCCGCCGTGTTTTTCTTTAAGGATTGGTTCTGTTTTTTTTTGTGGATCTGAGTGCGTTGCCACCGTGCGTGATTGTTGAAGTTGGGCCGTACCGCATTTGTCGCTGCTCTCCAGTTGTCCCTGTTGCTGTGTTGATGTGCCTTCCTGTGCTCCTCTTCTCTTCTGCTCCTCCAGCTCAACACACACACATATATACTTAGTCGCGCAGTGCTCTGCAGGAATGTCTTGGTGACGGTGGGACGTTGGCCTGCATCCCGTGCTGACATAGTATGGTCGCTGCGTGTCTACCTTTGGCGGTGGGAATCACGGTCTCATTGGATGGATGCGTGTGGCACGTTTTTGCATTGTGCTGGAGGCCAACTGACGTGGCTGCACGATTTCCGCCATGTGTGAAGGTGTTGCCTGCTTTTGGGGTGGTTCTTCTTTCCCCTATGTGTTAGCTTTGCCAGGTGCGTGCGTTGCTCGGTGTGTGCTGACGCGTGACGGACGGTGTCACGATGGCCCTCTCTGGCAATGACGGTCGCTGTGCTCTCGGCACACATCCACAAGACTCTTTATTGTCTCTCTGTGCGAGTGATTGCGGCAGGGCATTGCTGCGGGCGTGACGGGGACCACGACGGCGTCACCCTTCGAGAAGGTCCCATGCACTGTCGGTTGTGGGGCGGCGAGGCGGTTTGCCTGCAGCCCGACTGACAACCGCACAGTCGTTTCATTGCGGTCGCTCCGCCGGCATCCCCCGCTGCGGTGGTGTCCGCAAGAGCCGCAGCTCGGAAGTTCAAGCCGTTCCCCCTCAGGATTGCCCTTGCTGCTTGACTGGCGCAGCACCGGCCCGACATGGCTCTTCTGCAGGAGTGCAGGCACCAGAGTGCCAGCGACGAGGCTCATTGGCTGCATTGACTTCCACCAGGCCTGCAGTGGGCGTGCCGCTGGCGTGACCCTATTGGTGCGCCACACCTTTCCGTGCGAGTGCCTGTCGCTGCTGGAAGCAACTTTCTGGAGACCACCGCCCTCCGCGTGTGCCCACCGGCCAGCCCCAGCATGTACGCGGTGAACCTCTGCAGCCTCCCTACAGTAATTGCTCACGCTGCTCACTTTGCGAGCGACATTCGTCGCCTTGGTCCTGCAGTGCCTGTTGCGGTTGACCTGAATTCACACCATGAGCTGCGTGACGGTTGCTCACCATCCACGACGTCAGGAGAGGGCCTCGCCACCACCTCAAGCGGCATGGAGTGTGAGCTTTCTGACGTCCCGGCACAGGCAACGTGGATCAGCGGCCGCGTCTCGTTTCCTAATCTACTGCGCAACGCGTACTGCGTTTCTCACTGGACGTACACCCGTTTACATGGACTCGGACCAACATCTGCCATCCCAAACTGCAGGGACGGAGGACGGCATCCCACGACTGGCAGGCATGCTGCCACGACGGAAACATGACGCATTTGTCCTGCGTGATGCCGACTGTGATGCTTCCATCTAGGCGTGTGAAACACCTCTGGCCACTGGGACCACATGGTTGGAGATGCGCAAATGCACCGTACCGCGCGGCAGCCGTGACAGACCAGAGGAATCACGACGGACGGAATGGAGCAGGCCGAGTGTGTTGCAACGGCAGCCTGCCCCGAGCTGAAGCTTTCCGCAAATGGGAGGAACGCAATCATACCCTTCGCCGTGTTTTCTCCATGCTGCCAGAGGCCCGTGCGAAAGAGCTTGGTACTCTCTCGAGCCCAAGCCTGTGATGCTCCGAAGCATGGCGGCACCACGTCCCTGCCCTCTGGGATCGGCTGTGCTGCGGCACTCTCGGGACCGCGTCTGTGCTCTGCCTCTGCAGCAGGCACACCCGCTCGTCCGTCACACTGTCCGTGTCGCACTTGCTGCGATCCTCACTGTTGTCCGCACACCTTGTGCTTGCGTGCCCCCTGTTGACTGGAATATGAATTGGCCCTTTACGCCGTGTGTGCCTGACTCGGCCATCCGCGACTGTTTGCGTGGCGTGGCCCCGTCGGCGTATTGAATGTGTTTCTGCGCCATCTTGCACCCGCTGCCCTCTGCTTGCACAGAACGATGATCAATACCTCCCTCGCCGACGGCAGCCTGCGAGATTCCTGGGAAACGGGGAACAACACTCGCATCCACAGACACGGGAAGGACACATGCCGCACTGAGAGAGTTGCCGGCCCATCCCGCTGCTCTCTGCCCTGCTAGGGGTGTGCGAAGGACTGGTCCACCGCCGCCTGTGAGTGAAAAAACGCCACGAGTGCCGAGCGAGCGCATTAACGTGGAGTGCGAGCGTCGCAGGGGCGGCGTCCAGCGCTGCACCGTCGCCGACACCGCTCTCTTGCCGTCCGGATCGGCATCTAGACTGCATTCGACACTGCGGATGATGGGCGAGTGCTGGCTGTGCTCGACGGGCTACCGCGCCTGTGCCGTCGCTCCCAACGCTGGTAGCGCAATCACCTGCGAGGCGGCGGCGTTTCGTTGTGTGCTCACCGAGAATATTCCTGACAGCGGCTCGCCTCAGCCGTGGCAGCCCAATGCAGCTTCCTTGGACCGCAGCTCCTACTCCACCGCATGGATGGTCTGCTGCGCCGCCTGTACAGCACTCACTTTGCGTCGGCGTTCATTCACGCTGATGGCCGCACGCTTGTTGCCTTGTATGTGGACATCCATGTCCGTGCTGCGGCAATGCCAACTGCCCTGTCCCTTGTGGCCACATGGGCTGCCGAGCACAGCCTGAATATCAACGCCGATAGGAGCGGGCAGCTCTGTTCTGCATCGCCTCACACCGACAGTCTGAGGAGGACGCTGCCGACCATCGTCTGGGCGATGGGAACCAACGCGTCAAATCCCACCCGGTGCGTCTGCTCGGCAATGCGATTGATCGACACCTCAATTTTGGTGTGCACGTCACCGTCGCTGCAGGGCAGACCGTGCCACGCCGCCATCAGCTGCGGCTGGGTGCAGAGGCTGGTGCGTCCCAGCACACCACGGCGACGAGGCAATCGCACCGTGTCCGGCCCCCATTCACCTCCACAGCCTGGAAGTGCGGCACCGCGACAGCTGCACTCCATCGCTCGGCCCACGCGCAAAGAAGGATGCTTCTGTCCACCTGACCGCCAATCCAGCACCGCAGCGGAGGATCATTGGGTTCCGCGCACCCACACAACACCAACGCCTCACACTTTTCCGATGTATTAAGGACGTGTGTGGCTCAATCTGATTGGAGGCCATGCCGCCGTCCATGCATGGGAAAGCGGCGATATCGATCCTGCTTCCGAGAGATGCTGTTTTTAATGAATTGCGCCGCGTATGTAACATTATTGGGATACCCCACAGCCACAATCGTGCCCCTCCTATTCAACATCGTATTTTCCCCTGGGACACTGTGAGCTGCAATAAAGTGGAATTTAGCCAGCCACGCTTTGCCCAAGACGCCTATGACGACGTCAAGCGCACGGCTCTTGATTCTATTTACTCCTCTCTAGGAGATTATGAATTTGAATTATGGACGGACGTTTCTTCCTCTCTCGCTGAGCTCGCACCTGGATCCGCTGCACCATTGTATGGCTCCACCACGACAAATGATCTCCCTGTGGAGGTACATCGTGCAGCAGCTGGCAGGCTCGCATGCTCATATAGAGCAGAGCGCCTTGCCACTGAAAATGGCATTATACATCTCATACCTTTTGTCTGGGAAACATCCCAATCGCCCACACGAATCCTGGTGGCAACGGACTCCCTCTCGGCAATCACACCACACACATCATCACAACCCCAAGCACCAGCAGCACTGCACACCGTGGGTTAACGTGACCGATTGGCGCATGCTGTACGTGAAAGAAAGCAATTAATGGCTTGACAGGGATAAGAAACACTGACAATATCGCACAACAAAAGAAAATAAAATAAAATAAAAAATCATGCGTCCACATTCTAAGCAAACCACCAATCAAAAAAAAAAAAACATAATGGGTGCACTCAACCACAAAATTAAAGGAAAAACAAAAAGCCGAAGCGTGGGACGACCAGCGGACACACACTCTCATTACTCCCGTAAAGCAAAACACACACAGAGGGAGAGAGAGAGAGGTCGCCCACTCAATGCAATAAAAACAAAACAGAAACAGTTACGGTGCTCCGCCCATGCAGCCAGGCAGGACGGCAGCGGTGCGTGTCGTGCAAAAGAGAGCACCACCGGGCCTGCATGGGTGTGCATGCATATATACAATGGGCACATTATTGTGTGTGCCTCGTGGGGTGAGGTGAGGGCGAGAGTCCATGCAAGGGGACACACACACAGAGAGAGAGAAGGACGAGTGTGTGTGCGGGCGGTGCACGGCTCTCTCTCCCTCACACTCACGCGGCCACCATCGCAGCAGCAGCCGCACACGCAACAACAAGAAGAAGCAAAAGAGGGGAGGTGGTGTGGGAGACCGCGGTGCTGCCATCACTGTCGCCAGTCGTCGCTGTTGTATTTTTCATGGTTGTGGTTTCGACTGGTGTTTCCTTCGGAGGTTGAGCATTCTCAGTAATGTTAGTTCCAGTAGTCGTTTCCTCGTGAAGTGGAGGGATTCTATTTGAAGAGGGCGTAGCTGCTGCTTCTTGAATGGCAGTTGATGTACTCTGCATTGTAGTGGCTGCGGATGCAGGATGTTCTTCACTGCTTTTGGGCGCATCAGGTAAATTCGCTGATGCATCCGTGCTCTTGCTATTTGTCTCCTCTTTTACTGACGTCAATACTTCGTGGGATGTTTTTGTTTCTGTCGCTGCTGCTTGTGATGGTTTCAGTGGAGTCTTTTCATTTTCTTGTAATTTTGTATTTGGATCAGCTGACGATTCGTCTGTTCGGGAAGCTTCTGAACCCCCTTTTACCGTTATTTGTTCTCTCGAAGAGCGTGAACCACCGGCACCCACCGTGGCGACCTCGTTGTCATTCTGACCCGTTGTTGGAGCAGAACCGTTTTGTTCCGATCCGTTGTTGAGTGTATCTGCTGCCACTCCGTCGTGTGGCTGGGCGTGTTGACTCTCCTTTGCTTCTGGTACCTTATCTTGTCTTGAAGGCTTCCCAACTGCATTGGGTGAAATACCGACGGTGGACCCTTCGTCACCGATGCGGGATGAAGAAACAACACCAGAAGAGGACCGCGAAGTGAGAATGGCGCCAGGAGCAGCAGGACCAGAAGCACCAGATGGTGGTTTTATTCCTCCTCCTGCTGCTGCTGGCGGTGGTACTACCGGTGTTGTTTCGCGTATCTTCGCTTCGTCCTCCACTTCTTCATCTTCGTTGTCTCCATCTTCTTTCTCGGTCATTCTCTCGCCTCCTTCTTGTTTTTTTTCAGAAATTAGTTTTTTACGCGACACAATAGCAGCTGAAGGATTCTGTGTCGTCTGGTCCTTTCCTCTTGTTGCATCTGTTGATTCTTTTCCTGAAGCCACCGGCTTTTCATCTTTTATTTCGGGTGGCGAAACCTCGTTATTCCTTGCCTGGCCATCTTTGTCCGTGATGACATCCCCGTTTCCAGCAGCAGCAGCAACAACAATCCGTTGATGTCTCCAACGACGATGGCCATCCACAACGGCACGCAAACCGTCCATCCCCTGACGCACGCATTCCTCCACGGCGGACGCATTCGCACCGCCTCCCGTCCTCCTGCTGACTTCCTCCGCACTTTCCCTCCGCAGCCAAGCACGCCACTGCAACAGTAAGTCCTCATCCCCACTGCCATCAGAAACAACGTCAACACCGTCGGCCGCAACTCCAGGTAAACCGCACCACAGCACGCAGAGGGCACACACCAGCAGCACACGGCCAGTCATCATCATCGCCATCACTCCTGTCACTTGCGTGCAGCCTTCAGCACAAAATAAATCTCCGTCATCGCAATGCAAAAGCAAAAGGAGAGACAAGTCACACAACCACGACCAGCCACGGCACAGTAACACATCGCAGCATCCCGGTGTACACACCATGAGGCAAATAAAATCAGTGGGAGGGCAAAAAGCGCAGCCACACACACAACTTCGCAGCAAGTAAACAGCAAGAAAAACACAAAAAAATAAAAACAGAACACGAGAAAACAAACACCAATAAATTTAGCACAGTAAAAACAAGAAAGAAAAGAAGCTGCACCGAATGGCTCCAGTGAGCATGCACCCATCCTCAAATGTGTGTCCACACAAACAGTTGTCTCCGTGTTGTGCATATGAGTATGTTCGGGATGTGTGACAATTGGCTGATACAGGAAGCAGCAACATGAAGCACACATCAGGGCAGCGGAAGAATAAAGCAAAGCACAATCATCATAATTACTCTTAATTTATACATCGGACAACAGTTGACATGTACATATCCCCGTGATTGAGTGCTGGCACGCGCATAGCCCGCACACACACCTCTTCAGCCCAGGGTGGTGTAGGCCAGCGCGGATGCGGCGAGCAGCAGCGGGGCACACACCCACGCAGAGCTGCTGAGGCTGCCGTCAACTTCGCGAAGACGTGACGGTGCGTGGGTGGTGGTCATCGTTGTTGGCGCCTCTGTATTCGTAGTTGGTGCCTGTGTTGTGGTGGTTGTCGTGGTCGTCTCGGCAGGATCTTCGGCTTCCTGACTTGCTTCTTCTGTGGATTGTCTTGTGCCGATTTCTGGTCCTGGAGTACCGTCAGAACCATGATTTTGTGACGTGTTAGACACGTCACCTGATTCCGGACCTGCAGCGGTCGGGGCTGGTCCCTCTACTGCAGTAATTCCCAGATCCGCATCGGACCCATTACCTAACAACCCTGACTGACCTTTTCCCTGTGTTAGTGTCACCGATGAAGGGGACTGTGGACTGGTGGCGACAGCAGCTTTGACTTCAGGCTGAGTAGACACTACCGCGCACACAGACGGGCAGCAGCACAGGGCAAGCACCAACAGGGCGCACAGCAGACGGCACGTCATCATCATCGTGAGTGTGGTCGTTCAGTGGTGTGGAGCTGATCTGCACAGTGAGGGACATGGAGAGCAACAGGGGAGACGAGAGGTGCGGCAGACACACACAGAGGGCACACCACATGAGGCGAGGGCAGCAGCCAGGCATGCACCGTACGCCGCACACCACGCACGACACACAGATGGAAGAGGGAGAAGCAAGCAGGAGCGGCACACAAGGCCCCACCGCATGTACACACGGCGAGAGCGGTCCGTCGTGTCGGCACCCCTCACGAAGGGTACGCACACACACAAGAGGAGGTGCAGCACACAGCAACACAAAAGAAAAGTAACAATTAAAAAAGAGATCCCCGCACACCACGCGGATTGTTGGCCCACGGGAAGTGCAGCCAATATTCATCGCAAAAGCAACTCAGTTGCCTTTGGCCTTCGTTCATATTCAGCGCACACCACTTCATGCAGGCCTGGGCACCACTGCAGCAGCAGCACGCAAATATGAGCGCAAGGAATGGAAGAGTGCAGGAAACTATTTATTTGTTTCTGTTTGAATGTTGACAGATGTCCGCGTATTTGTTTTCGTTTTGTTTCGTTTTGCAGAGGGTAAGCCTTCATGCCTGCATCGTATGTTGGGGGTTCCTGTAGGGTGCAGCATTATTTTTTTCCCTATTTTAAAGTTTTCTTGTGTTGGTGCAGCCAATAATTCGG